CATCCCGGAGCTCCGGCCTGGGGCGGTGCCGTTGTTCCTGCGGCCGCTGCTCTGCCTCAGCCCCCTGGGGCCGCATGAAACGTCGCTGTAGCTGCTGCTGCCGGCGTCTGCTGTCACAGCAAGGTGTTAACTGAGGGCGATCAGTGGGTTTCAAGTCTATAAGCTCCGCTCTTCAGTACCGCGAGACACCTGCGAGAAGGTTAGGTCTGGGACAGGAACGTCATCATGCAAGGGGAATCTTCCGGCTAGCTAAAAGCTTACACTGCTGCCAAAATTCAGGATCCTCTGTGTGGGGGTGTGTGAAAATGTTCCTGTAACGTTTGATTCGTTATAAGGCGTTTCTTTGTGTAGGGTGTTGAAAGCTCTGTGTTGTAGTGCAATAAAGGTACTTCCTTTAAAAGCAATTCCTAGAAGTCTGCTGTCCTTCACTTTTTGCCTGTATTCTTTATGTAAGTGAAAAACTAGTGGAGAAATCCAAGTACAGCTCTGAGATACTTTGACATCTGAGATATTTTGACTGCTATGTGAGTGGATTGTGCTTCATCCTCTCTTTAAGAGAAGACTGAAGCTCTTGAACAATAACCTGGTTAAGGGAAAAAACCTATCAGACCATAACCAACCAGTGCTCACCATTATGGGTCACTCTTACAAACGCAGGCAGCAACAAACTTTATCTGTGAGAGCGCTTGAGGTCTCGAGACACGTGTCTCAGTGCTGTCATGTGATAGTGCTGAAACTAGCTGTTATTTGTGGCACTCTGAACACTGATTTGCCTTAGGTGTGTGAAGGGTCGGGAGGACGGGGCTCTGCGGCCTGCGCAGCCGTTGCAGTGAACGAGGGACAACTGGCAGCACCCTCAGAAGCTCGGTGAGCAGGGCTGGAGCCTTGGTGGTGAACACTTCACCACTGAACCCGAAATGGCAGGGTTTAAAGTGTCAGAAAGAACCCTTTTGGGATCAAATATGCTAGCTTCGTATTGTGATATTGCTGTCATGCAAACTAGAATAATTAGTTACCTAATATTGACTTATTTTTGTATGTTCTATGGTTTTAAAGAAAATTAAACCCAACAACCTTAAAACCTATAGCAAAATAAAAGAAACTTTTATTTTTTCTCTTATCAAACACTGATTTAAGGAAGCTTGCTGTCTGCTTAACAACACTAAATGCAAAAATTCCATTTTTTGTCTCATATTTCCACTGATTCCTG